GTGCTCCAAGTTTCAGAGCCATATAAAACGGCTGGTCTTATCAACGTTTTATATATTTTGATCTTGGTGTTGCGAGACCGACACTTTGACTTTAGCAGAGTTGAAGGGTATAGTGTGATATATTTCCAGATTTTATTCTAGATTGTTTTTCTTCTCTCAGCATGTTGGAACAGTTAAAGTTTGCACCCAAGTACTTATATGTTTCGGTTTGTTTAATTTTCATATGATCAACTTGTACGTGACGGGAGTTTATATCCTTTCCCTGTCTTGTTATTATCATGTATTCTGTTTTATCTTGGTTGATAACTAGTCCCATTTTCTGAGCTGATTTTTTTAAGAGAGTCAGTGTTTTAACAGTCTCAAGGTTATTTTCTCCAACGATATCAATGTCATCTGCATATCCAAGTATTCTTGTAGATTCTCCTATAGCACACTCTTGTTTCACTTTCCTTATAATTTTCTCCAGGGCTAAGTTGAAAAGAAGTGGGGATAGAGCATCACCTAGCTTTAAACCAGATGTTATTTGAAAAGGGTCTGATTTTCTACCTTTATATATTACTATATTACAAATGTCTTCCATACATGGTAATTAACTTTTTTGGTAATATTTCAAAGTCCTTCATAGTATTCCATAAACTGTTTCTATGTACACTATCATATGCCTTTATAAAATCCACAAAAACATTATGTACATCTCTTCTATATTCCCAATTTTGCTCTGCTATTTGCCGTAAAATCAATATCTGATCTATTGTTGATCTGTTCTGTCGGAAACCAGTTTCGTAATCTCCCAGTATGTCTTCAACATTTAGTTTTATCCTGTTTAGCAGTACAGCCGATAGTATCTTATAGCTTGTAGATTCCCATAAGAATGTTTACCAGAATTATCAAAATAATACCAGATATACAGCCAAAATACCAACATGAAAGCACTGTAACAACTATGATGCAGAAGTTCAAGCCATCAAAATAGCAGCCGATAAACTATTAAATATACGTCATGTTTCACAACCAGTGGGATTCCTGACAAATGCAAGAGCTGTACCTTAGGTACCCTCATATGGAAAATTACCTGGTATACTAATACTACTCTCCAGACTAGGCAACCGGTGTAAGGTAACTATGCGACGGATACCATCCTGTGGAGTTCTTGAAAATGAAAGAGCTAATAAACTAGTTAAGAAAGGGGCAAATGAAGTACAAGCTGACTTGCCAGTCTCTTATCAACAGAAGAAGAGAATAATCAAATCAATTAGAAAGCCGCCTAAACCAGCACAAGACGATTACCATATGATGGACAGACAAGAGCAAGTTATTATTCTACGCCTTAGAACTTGACACAGTCGACTTCGCAGCTATGTGTAAACAAACATCACATTCAACACAACTGAAAATTAAATTGGCTCTCTCTTTTCCTAAGTATTTAACAGCTTGACGGGTAGCTGTGCTGCAAATTTCTTTTTAGCCTGACAAGGGTGCCGCGGCAAAACAAAAGTTTGAGAACCTTTGTACTAGAGACAACACTGCATTCACAGATAACCTTTTTCAAGCGAACAAAAAAGAAGTTTATCTTAATTTTTTTTTTTTGACTGGCCTTTTTTTCAGTTAAGTGTGTCTGAAGTTATGCAAGCCCAAAATGTAATCACATCAAAAATTAGTAGAAATAATTTATAGTGGAAATATAGTTACAAAACTGCGGTGTTAAATTGTGACTGAACTGCATTAATTACAGATGCAAGCACACATTCTGATAACCCCTGTGTAAAAGGGAAATAACCTTTCAATCAATATGCACATTGCAAGTGACATTTTTTTGGCAGCACAATTCCAATTCCAATTTGTTTGAAAAAAAATAAAAGTTCCTGTCACCCTAACCAGCTCCAATATTGAGCGGCGGTTATTTTGGGACTGCGTATATTTGTTTAGAATATCCAATAGTTATTTGTCCATTGTGGCGTGTCCATACGCCTGTGTAGCACCATTCACTGAAGATATTTATTGCTGTTCACAGTCCAAAATATAAAAGCGTAGCTCGGCTGCACTTGGCCTGGCCAGAAGCGCCGGGATCGGTCCCGAACTCATGGGAGTAAATTATCACTGCATGAGCCTTTTAAACTCAGAGCCGGGAGGTTTCCCTGTGAGGAGAGACTGGCCCGGCGGAAAAAAAAATTTGTTCTTTTAAGCCCTACTCTGGCTTTTGCCAGAGGCCGCAATATAGCCTGGCCATAAATATTGCCTAAAGGCTGAACGCGGTTTCTGGGACCTCACATTGTGTCATCGGGTGTTTATCGCTTGTGTGATGTCCTAGTGGGGTAGAAAGTCAGTCAGTCCCCATGTGTATCTTTATCTATACAATGTTCTACTTCCCGTTCTTTTTAGGATGAAATTTTTCATTATTTGAAGCGCTACTCTGGCTCTTGCCAGGGGCCGCAATATAGCCCGGCTATGTTGTTTGTTTTAGTATCCAGAAGCCATGAGTTGTTAACCCTTAGGCTCGGTATTATGGATATCGCAACCTTTCTGCCTCGATTCCATTGTAAATACTGTAAATCTGGGATAAATGTGGCTTTTCTGCCTACCCCCGGGAGTGAACCCGGACCACAAGGAGTTTGTCACCCGCTCACAGCGCAATCTGGTTTAGCCAACTACGCTAGAGAGCCGGGCAGCCCGGCTATAAATATGGCTGAATGCGGTTTCTGGGACCTCTCCACGGTGATCAACATGGTGACACTTTGTGTCATCGGGTGTTTATCGCTTGTGTGATGCCCTGGTGTGGTAGAAAGTCAGTCAGTCAGTCCTCATGTGTGATGCAATGATTTTGTTATTCTAAAGCCCCACCCTGGCTTTTGTCAGGGGCCCTGAATATAGCCAGGCCATAAATATGGCCTAGCCATAGATTTTGCCTGACGGCTGAAAGGGGTTTCTGGAACCTCTCTATAGGGAATCCTCATCTGCATGGTGGCACCTTGGGTCACCGGGTGTTTATCACTTGGGTGATGTCCTGATGGGGTACAAATACCTACCTACCAATGCAAACATACCAATCCCTAACCAAATGCAGGACACATTTTTCATTATTTTGAAGCCTATCCTGGTTGTTGTAACGGTTGAACTGGGATACTGGGACCTTTCCACGGGTGATCCTCATCCGAATGGTGGCATTTTGTGTCACCGGGTGTTTATTGCTCAGTGTGATGTTCTAGTGGGGTAAAAAATCAGTCGGTTCAAACCTTATAACACATCCTATCAAAAGACGCCATCACAATATGGGACACAACTTTTCATTATTTTGAAGCCCCACTCCGGCTGTTGCCTGGGCCCTAATATAACCAAGCCTATGGATTGAACGGGGTTTCTGGGACCTGCCCCTGAGCAATCCTCATCTGAATGGTAGCACTTTGTGTCACTGGCTACTTATCGCTCTGTGTGATGTCCTGGTGGGGTTGTACATCAGTCAAATCAATCAGTGCAACCTTCTGTGTGCTGGTATCCACAACCTCAAATAATCCATCTATCAATCACTTAATCTTGCTATTAAACTGGCAGCTTGCTGGAAAATATGGCCGTATTATATTAATTATCTCTCTATGCTCGGAGCTGTGGCCTCTGGCCCGTGACGATTTCTTATCTTAAAACGTTAGCTCCTCGGTCAACTTAGTTGAATAGCTCTGACTTGTATGGGTGACCTCTGGGTCTGTTTCCATTACATCTAAGTGACATAGCTCTCTGTAATGAACTAGTTGGTGGTAGACTTGACACATGTCCAAACCATTTGATTGTTGTTCTTCATGAAGCTTTATACTGGTTCTGCTCCAACTCCCTAACCCATGTCATTATTTATGATCCTGTATCTTCTAGTTACATTCGGGATTCACTGTAGACATTTCCTTTCTGTTGTTTTGATTTTTTTTCTCTTTGTTTTGAATGCCTATGTTTGGCACTGGTAACACAATGTGATAAAACTACTAAAGGGAAGTTGCTGCTCTTTCGATATCAATTGCTACATGTTCATTCCACAATATTTTTTACATCCATCCAATGATTTGATTTGCTTTAATACATCTGTGTTGTAACTTTGCATCCATTGTTATATTGGATAATTTTATACTCCCCAGATACTTGAAGTCTTTTGCTTGCTTCATTTGTTTGTTTTCTTTGCATATCTCGATTGCACCTCCCGCTGATTGTTCAAAATTACAGAAACCTTATCTCCATTCATTCGTTCATGTTTACAGGCAAAACATTGTGTTTTCAAGTAAAAAATACCTGAATTAATTATTAGTTAAAAGACTGACTTTCAAAAAACATGACCAATGTACAACTACATCACTACAGTCTGCACACTATAATACAACAATAATGTGTAATTGTAAAAATTAATGTAGCTACTAGTTGATTGTACAGAACTAACAAATTGCAACAAGGATGATCTTTCATTTTGCAGACCCCCTTGTCAATGTCAGAGTAATATCCATCCACTTTAGATTCACTTTCTACATGTTCATGAACTTTAGATTCCCCTTGTACATGGCAATGAACTTTAGATTCACATTGTACATGGCAATGAACTTTAGATTCACATTGTACATGACCACGAACTTTAGATTCACCCTGTACTTGTCCCTGAACTTCAAATTAAGCTTGTACAGTCCATGAACTTTAAACTCACCTTGTACGTGTTCATACTCTTTATATTAACATTGTACAAGTCACAGTGAATGTGAATCTTCAATCTTCAAATCTTACAGATGACCTTGAACTGTAGATCTTGAAGGCAATGGCAGGCTTCTCACTCTGGACCTTAGTTACCAAGTCAATATCACATGATGACCTTTGACCTAAGATTCCTCATGGAAATATGAATAACAAAGTATTGCTGCTGTTTTCCATGCAGTACTCGAAAAAAAATCACATTAGGTTTTTCTGTCACACATCACTAGTGAGAATAAAATGATTGCATCAGAAGTCTTTCATTTTCTTGTCTACAGCCTTCTTAATCATTAAATGCAATCACCGTTGGTCAATAGGTGTCCTAAAGTGACAACTAAATCTGAGAAAGTTGGTCGATTTGTCGGAGGCATAGCACAGCACTGCATCACAATGCTGGCAATCTGACTGGGACATTGTTCTGCAAAGTCTAAACGTGGGAGAGAATTATCGGTAGTGCTGACACTATTTATAGCCTTGAATATTTCATCATCGCTGTGCAGACGGTACGGTAGGTCACACAGGTGGAACACCTCCCACATGAAGACTCCGTAGGACCAGATATCAGTGCTGAAGGTGTAGTCAGCTTCGTTGACTGCCTCTGGAGGTAGCCATCGCAAGGGGATCAGAGCTGGCCTAGTTGGATGTGTGTAATATTCTCCTGAGTAGACGTCTCTGCAAAGTGATAAGCTGCATACCTGGTGATGGAAGATAAAGTTATCACAACCTGGCTAATTCTAATATACCTTCTGATTAAAGAAAAGCTTTTCCTTTATCTCTCATACGTGCGTAAAGACCCTCAACTTCTCTTCTCTAATCCTGTTCTATGTTTTAGCATCAGGTTTTAAAGTGCGAGCCTTGGTATGTGCTTCGGATTTACTTGTATTTACAGTCTCAGATATTCCACCTATTTATCAGTACCATGGTTGCCTTTAGCTCTGTTTCCATTATGTTTCAAGTGACAGACTTTCCATGGTGCACTATCTGGGGGTAGTCCTGACATATGTCCAGACCATTTTATCTGTTGTCTCTTGATGTAGTTTAGTAGTGGTTCCATCCAACTTTTTAAAATTGATATCATTATTTCATTTCCCTCAACTATCTTTGCCACCATATTGTCCACCCTACTCCATATCTTCCATTTAACCTTCGTCTCAACTATCTTTGCCACCATATTGTCCACCCTACTCTATATCTTCCATGTAACCTTCATCTCAACTATCTTTGCCACCATACTGTCCACCCTACTCCATATTTTCCATTTAACCTTCATCTCAACTATCTTTGCCACCATATTGTCCACCCTACTCCATATCTTCCATTTAACCTTCATCTCAACTATCTTTGCCACCATATTGTCCACCCTACTCCATATTTTCCATTTAACCTTCATCTCAACTATCTTTGTCACCTTATTGTCCACCCTACTCCATATCTTCCATTTAACCTTCGTCTCAACTATCTTTGCCACCATATTGTCCACCCTTCTCCATATCTTCCATTTAACCTTCATCTCAACTATCTTTGCCACCATATTGTCCACCCTACTCCATATTTTCCATTTAACCTTCATCTCAACTATCTTTGTCACCTTATTGTCCACCCTACTCCATATCTTCTATTTAACCTTCATCTCAACTATCTTTGCCACCATATTGTCCACCCTACTCCATATCTTCCATTTAACCTTCATCTCAACTATCTTTGCCACCATATTGTCCACCCTACTCCATATCTTCCATTTAACCATTATCTCAACTATCTTTGCCACCATATTGTCCACCCTACTTCATATCTTCCATTTAACCTTCATCTCAACTATCTTTGCCACCATATTGTCCACCCTACTCCATATCTTCCATTTAACCTTCATCTCAACTATCTTTGCCACCATATTGTCCACCCTACTCCATATCTTCCATTTAACCTTCATCTCAACTATCTTTGCCACCATATTGTCCACCCTACTTCATATTTTCCATTTAACCTTCATCTCAACTAACTTTGTCACCATATTGTCCACCCTACTCCATATCTTCCATTTAACCTTCATCTCAACTATCTTTGCCACCATATTGTCCACCCTACTCCATATCTTCCATGTAACCTTCGTCTCAACTATCTTTGCCACCATATTGTCCACCCTACTCCATATCTTCCATGTAACCTTCGTCTCAACTATCTTTGTCACCATATTGTCCACCCTACTCTATATCTTCTATTTAACCTTTGTCTCTGTTTCTAATTAACTTCTGAAAATGTTTTGGGTCTCTCTGTACCTCTTTTTACTCTGTGAGTATAAAGAAATTATAGTGACATCATTAGACTTTTCCATCGCCAACTGTATTGTCCAAAACCAGTGACTTTTCTTTACCCCTATTTACCAGATTTAGTTATTTCTATCAGTAAGCTCTGCATTTGTGATTATGTGATACCAATTAAATTCTCTTAGGAAATCAGTCATTTAATTAACAATAGTACCAATCAGTCAGAAGCAAAATCTGATGCACTGAATAATTATTTTCTTCTTGATCAGCCAAAACATATACAGTAGTATAATTCAACAATTCTGTGCATCATGGAGAGAAAACTCGATAATGGAGGTTCTCTGCTACAGTTACCAGTTACTGATTATACATAAAGGTTTTCACTAAAATATCAAAGCTGATAAAACAAAAAGGTGACTTTAAAAAAAAACAAAAAAAAAGTATAATAAATCATCCATTACATTGTCATAGGTTAAATATTACAGTAGAAGTGGCTATCGCAGAGGCTAGAATTCTTTACTATGCCCTGACCAGAAGAAGAAAAAAATGTAAGAGAGCATGTTATATGAGGGCTCAGGTTTAAAGGGAGCAACAACAACAAAAAAACTACACTCTGAAATTAAATAAGTGCTAGAATTTAACTCTTCAGATTTGAGAGAACAGTTTCCTAAATACTGGCCATGAGTTTTTCAGTCTAGGAAAGGGCAAAGACAAAAGTCAAACCTTTAGATCCATGCGAGAAGTCAGGAGGATATTTCTAGCTGCTAGATCTTTATGGATGAACTTGTAGCCAGATAAATATTCCATGCCAAGTGCCACTTGTTGACACATCTTTAACTTCTGGATGGAGGAAATCTGGGGGACTCTGGCAGTTGTTGCTCGCCGGCCATTGTCACTTCTGGTAGCCAGCAGAAACTGTTTGAGATCTCCCTGTGGACCCAATATCAATGTATTTACAATCCATATTACATCAGTAAGACTCTCTTCCATGCCATCAGAGGTGTTGGGCATATAGGGCTAGACCTATGTCTTATAGCCCAATCAGCACTTGTTGGGTGGTGTGGCCTTTACTTTCTAGGACTGGACCTGGTACCTACTCAGGCTGGGTCGACCTGGGGGCCAGTCATTTAAAAAAAAAAAATTTCTCTTCTAGGACCACAAACCTACAACTTTCCGATCCTCAGGTGAGCATCTAGCTGCTACACCACGGTGGCTTCCATACTACATCAGGAGTATCTATAATACTATTCTAGGGAGATACAAGATGCATCGTTACATGACTTCAAATCAGTTCTAGAATGGTTCCCAGAAATGTTCACATATTGTTCATTTCTGTCATAGAAGTTAAGCATCCTTCATTTATGCATTCACTGGCTGTAATTTCTGCTGGAAAGTCTTGGTTATTTGTCTGCCTAGTGACTTTAGTCTTGTTCCAGAATCTGAGTGTTGCGTACACATCCATTTTGCGGATCTGACTTATTTGTATGCAGACTGTTGGTTCTTTGCCTCTCAGGCAGATGCACTACAACTTTGAAGGAAGCTCCCACTTACTCTTATGACATGCCTGTTGTGGAGACAGTGGGTCTATTCTTGTTTTCCCTACAAAGGGGCCCTACAAACCACACTGGGAAAAAGTTGAGTATAATATTCTATTTTTGCTAGTGTATTCTAGGCAGTTCTTGTTAGCTTCTTTGAGTTTTTAGTGCCTTTCAAGATAATAGTTTTTCCAAAGGGATCTAGATATACATGGAAATCACAGCTCGAGGTGATATCATTTTAGATCAGGGATATTCCTCTTCACAGAACAAAGCATGAGTGGTACTGTAGAGATCATACCTTTCCCATAGCAACACAAAGTAAGGTCAGAAATGTTCCTCTTCACAGATCAAAGCATGGGTGGTACTGTAGAGATCATACCTTTCCCATGGCAATACTAAGTAAAGTCAGGATTTCCTCTTCATGGCACAAAGCATGGGTGGGACTGTAGAGATAATACCTTTCCCATGACAATACAAAGTTAGGCCAGGGATGAAGTTCCTTCTCTCCATAGCAAAAAAAATGGGTAGCATTGTAGAAACTATCAATTGTCCATGCAACATGATCCTTCTCTCTGCTTTATAAACTCTAAAGTTAAGATAACACCGATTCATGTAGAACCAAAGCATGCTGCAGAAACTGCTGGATCAGACGAGCACTACTCTGTCAGTCTGCCTGTCAAAACTGTTATTCTAGGCCAGCTGCCAACCAAAGCTACAGACCTTGTCTTTTCCATAACATTAGGCTTTCAGGCTGTATTTCCTGGTCCTAGAAAAAGTTTAGCTTCGTCCCAACAAAACTGGTGGGACATCAGGTTTGGTATGTACCACACAATACTTGGTGTTAACAGAGAAAAATGTAGTACCAACTACTGTTATATGGTAGTTCAGGCAGATCTGATCAAGATCTGTTACTCTAACAATTCATGGTATGTTTTTGCTTCATGCATATTAGAAACCAATCGTCTAGTTATCATATATTGGATGGTTCACATTCCAAGTTTCACTGCCATTTAGAAGGATAACAGACAAGACTTTGTGAAGTACTGATGTGGATAATTATATACTGTTATCATTTAGATAATAATGTTAATGTTATCAGTGTAAGTTTTGCTAAATAATCTATTTTTGTAAAGAGATGGGTAAGTTTTATAAGAAGAAATATAACTTAAGTAAGGTGAAAAGTAACTTCTGTAAGGAGATGGTTAACTTTTATAGGAAGAAGGCTTTGTCTGTATGCAGAAAAGCCATTTGTGCAAGGATAAGGGTAATACAGGGTAGTTGCTAGGAGAAGGATAACTTTTGTTAGAGAGAAAGGTAACTTACCCAATCACAATATTCAGTAATCATAAAGAAAGGCTCAGCTTCCCTGCAAACGCCTAACAACCTGACAATGTTGGGGTGTTCCAGTTTGCTGTACATTTCAATCTCACTGTGATAGTCAGCAGTATTTGTCTCCCCTTTGATCAACAAGGATTTAATGACTACCAAAGTATCAGGCTCTGCGGGACGAATCGCTCGAGCTTTTGCCAGGAATACATCTCCGAATTTGCCTTTACCTAAATCAGCAAAGCATAAAGCATAATATTTGTAAAGTTATCAATGCTGACAATACCCATAATGTTATCATTGTACATTAAATTTGTAAGGTGTGAAGAGCAGGTAATAGCTGTAAATATATTAGCATAGATAATAGCTGTTAGGTTTCACTGTAAAATAAAAGTAGGCCTATACAAGGTACTACATCTGGGGTGTGGTCTGTTTGGTCTTCACGTAACTCATGGGGATTCCAGGGCCCCCATAGGGGTGGGGGGTTGTACCCCTTTCTTCCCTCCTTCTCCCCTGTCATAAAAGATGGCTAATTAGTGAGAAAAGTCTGAATACAACTAAGCTAGATCTGTAAAATGGAAGTGCATGCAAATTCTGGAATAAGACCAAACTCCAGAAATGGATGAACAACCAGAACTTCTCACTAGTGTTTACATCTAGTGAACAGATAGAGGTTCCGGGTTCAATCCCCGGTAAGGGCTGAGATTTTTTCATGTGGACTTGTAGTAATTCCCCCTGGTCTCTGGGTAGTGAGATCGGACATCCGTGTGCAATGTTGCGCATGTAAAAAATCCCTTGGCAGTTGCAAATCGAAAAGAGTAGCCTAACGGCGCTGCTCGGGCAAAATTTGGAGTTTAAAATCTACCTAAAGTATTTCAGGATTCTCGCCGGTGATACAGAGTCTGTGCACATAATTATTATTATTATTAGCCCTTTACTAAACTGAAGATCTGATAGCTAAGCATTTACGAAGCTCTTTTACGAAATCTGAAGAATGAGGTTTCAGTGTCAATTAACTTGACATTCCAGGTAATTTACAGTGCGTAATTTCTTCATTTTCTGTTGATCCACAAGTCCATATAAAGTGTTCTCTTACATTTGTAAAATTTGTCAAAGCACACTAAAGAAATCTGGCTTCTGCAGTGGCTGTCGTTCCGCTCACACGGGTAGAGAAATCTTTAGCCCCCCCCCCCCACACACACACACAACGCAATTTTTACCTCTCTCCCCACTCCTCCAGAAAATGTTCAATTCCCTAACTATTTATAGATGTTCTCTTTTTAAGCATTTGTTTTCATTTTAATTTGGACGTACAGAATATTCTTCAAGGGATCTGGCCAATGCTCAACACTTAAGGGAAAGGCGAGATTGTTGTACAATCACACAGTTACTGGTACCACTGGAATAGGAACTCTTAGTTTAATGCTGAAAATGGAGATGGAGCACTTTTTTGTGTCCTGAGTGCTTTGATGTCAATTCAGTTCTTACTTTAACATTCATCTTTAGGATGTATTATTATATTTATTTACTATCCTAGTTAGCTGCATATCCTTTACAGGACACTGCAGAACCAACCCCAGCAATTTTTTTTTTGCTGTTGTGGTTTTTCTAGGCAAATTTACGTCCATTGATTACTGGATGGTCGGCTTCTCGGTACCACTGTCAAAACCAACACAAGGTGCAAGGCCCGCAACTGGGATATAACTCAGCACCACGGCATCACGAAGCTCGTCGCTCGCAACGCCTAAACCACAGACGCGGACATTTACTATCCTACATATAATAATAAAAGGTTATGCAACTGACCAATAATTCCCAAGGTTTGTAGATCTTGTCTAGGGTAGTGCAGCTTCTCCAGGCTGGTGCTGCAACATCTTGAGGCTATCACCGATGCTGTGATATGAGAAGCAGCAGCTGAGGCTGACGTGGAGGAGTGTGAGGGATGGGAACTCATGCCAGACACATGGGAGCGGTTGTCGCTGTCACTGCGGAACTGCAAACCTGAATCACGATCTTTCATTAGCAGTTCATGCTGTTCTCTGTGATGGTGGAACTCTCCTGTGCCTAACTTCAAATTTTTGGTGTGAACTGGAAAATAGTTTGTGGAAAAAAAAAAGAATGTTTTAATGTCCATTATATTTAGGTAAACAATAACAATATTTTTAAGATTATAAATTAAATATTGGAAATGTAATGAAATTACCAGAGGAAATACTGTGTCTGTTATTGTGAGAGGAAATACTGTGTCTGTTATTGTGAGAGGAAATACTGTGTCTGTTATTGTGAGAGGAAATACTGTGTCTGTTATTGTGAGAGGAATACTGTGTCTGTTGTTGTGAGAGGAATACTGTGTCTGTTATTGTGAGAGGAATACTGTGTCTGTTATTGTGAGAGAAAATACTGTGTCTGTTATTGTGAGAGAAAATACTGTGTCTGTTATTGTGAGAGGAAATACTGTGTCTGTTATTGTGAGAGGAATACTGTGTCTGTTATTGTGAGAGGAAATACTGTGTCTGTTATTGTGAGAGGAAATTCTGTGTCTGTTATTGTGAGAGGAAATACTGTGTCTGTTATTGTGAGAGGAAATACTGTGTCTGTTATGTGAGAGGAAATACTGGTCTGTAGTGATACTGTGAGAGGAAATACGGGTCTGTTATTGTGAGAGGAAATACTGTGTCTGTTATTGTGAGAGGAAATACAGTGTCTGTTATTGTGAGAGGAAATACTGTGTCTGTTATTGTGAGAGGAAATACTGTGTTTGTTATTGTGAGAGGAAATACTGTGTCTGTTATTGTGAGAGGAAATACTGTGTCTGTTATTGTGAGAGGAAATACTGTGTCTGTTATTGTGAGAGGAAATACTGTGTCTGTTATTGTGAGAAGAAATACTGTGTCTGTTATTGTGAGAGGAAATACTGTGTCTGTTATTGTGTGAGGAAATACTGTGTCTGTCATTGTGAGAGGAAATACTGTGTCTGTTATTGTGAAAGAAAATACTGTGTCTGTTATTGTGAGAGGAAATACTGTGTCTGTTATTGTGAGAGGAAATATTGTGTTTGTTATTGTGAGAGGAAATACTGTGTCTGTTATTGTGAGAAGAAATACTGTGTCTGTTATTGTGAGAGGAAATACTGTGTTATTGTGAGAGAAAATACTGTGTCTGTTATTGTGAGAAGAAATACTGTGTCTGTTATTGTGAGATGAAATACTGTGTCTGTTATTGTGAGAAGAAATACTGTGTCTGTTATTGTGAGAGGAAATACTGTGTCTGTTATTGTGAGAGGAAATACGGGTCTGTTATGATAGTGTCAGAGGAAATACTGTGTCTGTTATTGTGAGAGGAAATACTGTGTCTGTTATTGTGAGAGGAAATACTGTGTCTGTTATTGTGAGAGGAAATACTGTGTCTGTTATTGTGAGAGGAAATACTGTGTCTGTTATTGTGAGAGGAAATACTGTGTTTGTTATTGTGAGAAGAAATACTTTGTCTGTTATTGTGAGAAGAAATACTGTGTCTGTTATTGTGAGAGGAAATACTGTGTCTGTTATTGTGAGAGGAAATACTGTGTCTGTTATTGTGAGAGGAAATACTGTGTCTGTTATTGTGAGAGGAAATACTGTGTGTTATTGTGAGAAGAAATACTGTGTCTGTTATTGTGAGAAGAAATACTGTGTCTGTTATTGTGAGAGGAAATACTGGTCTGTTGTGATATTGTAAGAGGAAATACGGGTCTGTTATGATAGTGTCAGAGGAAATACTGTGTCTTCAGTGATACTGTGAGAGGAAATACTGGGCCTATACTAAGATTAGTAGTGGAAATACTGAACTAAGATCATAGTTTGAAATACTGAACATGAACTAAGATCATAGTTTGAAATACTGAACATGAACTAAGATCATAGTTTGAAATACTGAACATGAACTAAGATCATAGGTGGAAATACTGAATATGCACTAAGATCACACGTGGAAATACTGAATATCCACTAAGATCACACGTGGAAATACTGAATATGCACTAATATCAAAGGTGGAAATACTGAATATGCACTAAGATCATAGGTGGAAATACTGGATTTGTAATAAGATCATAGGTGGAAATACTGGATTTGTAATAAGATCATAGGTGGAAATACTGGATTTGTAATAAGATCATAGGTGGAAATACTGAATTTGTAATAAGATCATAGGTGGAAATACTGAATTTGTAATAAGATCATAGGTGAAAATACTGGATTTGTAATAAGATCATAGGTAGAAATACTGGATTTGTAATAAGATCATAGGTGGAAATACTGAATTTGTAATAAGATCATAGGTGGAAATACTGAATTTGTAATAAGATCATAGGTGGAAATACTGAATTTGTAATAAGATCATAGGTGGAAATACTGAATTTGTAATAAGATCATAGGTGGAAATACTGAATTTGTAATAAGATCATAGGTGGAAATACTGAATTTGTAATAAGATCATAGGTGGAAATACTGAATTTGTAATAAGATCATAGGTGGAAATACTGAATTTGTAATAAGATCATAGGTGGAAATACTGGACATACTCCGTCTCATATAGTTAGTTGGTTGCGAATCCTTTACATGACGTTGCAGAACCAACCCCAACAGCCCCTGGCTGTTGTGTGGTTTTTCTAGGCAAATGTACGTCTAGTAGTTTGCCATTGCTTTCTGGACTGTCTCATATAGTTCACCATTTAAGAGTCATGAGTGTGTCTGAATTAGAATTTCAGCTGTCTGAAACTTCGAGAGACGAACTGAATGAAAAACTTACTGAGTTGTTTCCTGGTCTTTCTCTGTGCCAGGAGCCGATAACTGCAGTAGGCTGTGAGACCAATCACCAGGGCCAGGTAGGCCCCAGCACTGCACACGGCAATAATGACAGTCTTGGCCATGTCGAAGCCTTTATCGTCTTCTATCGGTTCTGGGGAGTATTGAAGATATAGGCTGGTCAGGGAAGTAACAATGATCCATTGTACAAGCAAAGTACATACATGTGATACCAACACAGCCCATGGGCTCAGGCATCATCAGCACCCCCCGCCCCTTCCATGTTTAGAAGGCAGCTACCTCCTCCCCCCTTCCCCCCCAAACACACACACACAAGACAGTTTTTAATGGGGCTAAGTGCCTTCCCAGCCATAAATAGATGTTATTTTTTAAAGTATTTATGTTTATTTTTTTATTTATTTCAAGTAAATAATTATATTTATTTGCCAGTAAACAAATAATAATAATAATAATATTTATTATTATTTATGTACACTTGAACAAGGCTTGAGCCCTACTCCTAAAAATCATAAGGTCTCAGCCCCCCCCCCCCCCTTCCCCGATTTTTTATGTTGATGGTGGTGCGCATAAATATCTGTAACTTGAGTAAACAATGTATCGATAACATACAAGCGATGGTTAATAACTTTAAGCAATTTTGTAAAAAGGGGTCGGCGGATTCATTTATTCGTTCATTCATTACCCAGCTGTATGACTGTATCTCACACAGGGCTCGAGGTCTATGCTTCCACTGCGTTGTATGTTGTGTCAGCAGTTCAATATCATGGACGGAATCCATTCCAGCAGCTTTGGTCCCTCTCATCAACGTTTATCTTACTTCTTCTTCTCCCATCTTACCAGCTGTGAGCTCTGCCGGAAAATTCTCGTTTTTCAATCACTTCTGGACAACAGTCCTGTTCTAGAACCAGAGTGTTGCGTGTGCATCCTTTTTACAGATCTGACTGATTTGTATGCAGACTGTTGGTTCCTTGCTTCTCGGGCAGATGCACTCTGACTTCGAAGTAAGCTCCCATTTGTCGACTCTTACGACATGCTTTTGGGTAGGCAGTGGGTCTATTCTTGTTTTCCTTTAATAGGGTCTCCGGACCCATAGGGGGATTTTGTCTTACTTTTTAATATTGATAACACATTTTCACTCTTTGAGTCCCAAGGAACGCATCATACGTTTATAGGTTCCTACCTAAAAGCCCAATGAAAGTATGGTGCGCTGATTTTATTACTTTCTTTACTACCCCCTGGGACCTAAAGAGTCCTACTCACTGCAGGATCTACAATCACAAAAACAGGCAAATATTTCCCTTTATCTCTCTGTAACAGGAGAAGCACAAAAGACAACATGGTGAGAAAGTCGCTAGCACAGACATAACTTACGGGTAATGAGAAGGTTAAATTCAGCTCTAATTTTCCCAGCTGAGTTGTTGGCAGTGCATCCGTATCTCCCCTTGTCTTCTATCAGCACCTTCTGCAACAACAGTGTCCCATTTGGGAATACCTGCAACAGAATTAGGTCATAGACAATCAGAAAATATTATCTAGTGTTGCTGACTGCTTACAAATATGGATCTAGCACCGTATGCCTCATGCATCACTGGAAAAGGACCCCCCCCCCCCCTTTTTTTTTAAGAAATCTGCTTTTAAAATAGTAAGATTGAATGCAATTGTGTCTTTATTCTATAAACGACGAATCTTCAAACCGGTGTGAGTTGTGTGTTCGCTTGGTCAGACACTTCGAGCTGTAACCTCAGAGTCAATTTCAGCAGTTTAAAAACGTCCTACTACATTACACCTGCATGAATGACCTAAACCGATGAGTTTCTACAGGTCTCATCCCTTCACTGATTAAAAAAAAAAATTAATGACTAATAGAACGCTGTTCCTATTCGGTGCATATAAAAACTGGGGCAGCCATCTTTAAACTGTCATTACGACGTCACCGTGTTTGTCTCCACCACAGTGTCACGTGCTTAACACTCTTGGCATTCTTAACAATATTAACTGTTGCAAGGCCGGGTTACTCTAATGTCTCACATACTGTTAACGTTTTTTATGAAGCCCCTTGTGTGTGTGTGTGTGTGTGTGTGTGTGTGTGTGTGTGTTTATGTTTATGTATATATTTATATGTATAGTGAAATTATAAATCGTATATTTTTTTTCCTTAGGGTTTGAGTGTGGGGAGGGGGATGGGGTTATAGTTATACACTTCGACACCGGATTATGCACTAATTTAGTCCTAATATAGGATTCATTTTTTTAAACACTTTTTAAGCCTCACCCCAGGTGGACTTCAACCTACTTTGCAACCGTCGTCGGAGGACCTAATATAATTTGACGATTAAATGGGGTTTCAGTGACTTGCCCAAGGAGGATCCTCATGTGAATGGTGCCATTTTGTATCAGCGGGTTTTATTCGCTCACGGTGTGGTCCTGGTGGAGGTTAACGGCCCTCGACGGGTTATGCACAGGATAGGATAGACAATAATCGTTTATCAACCTAAAGTTATCTTAATCTCAAAAATCCTCTGTATCCCTTCACGGGATAACTGGAAAGAACAAGGGTAGCAGAGGCAGACCAAGCGAAACGATGCTTGAAGGCCAGAAATGGCTGCAAGAAGGATCGATCGACCAGTTGGTCCATTCCAAGCTGCTACCTCAAGGTTTACCCTACCATCCTGAGATTTAATGATTTTAGTCTGGACCGCAAACTAGCAAGGCGGACCCAGCTACCCCGTTCAACCCTCAAAGAAATTAAAATTTAGACACCTTTAACGGTGACAACAGACATGTGTAACCTATAGTCCTTTGTGGATTGGCCCAAAAGAATATTATCACTGGAATTTATTAAAATAGCAAGGACCGAGATCTGTGGAGGGAGATGAGCGCCTGGTGGGGCAAAAAATGATGATAATGATGATGACCTCAAACAGAACACAAGCGACATAACCCTTAAACAAAGGAATAATCAGATTAGATTTTGTTGATAACGTCCCTTCGGTTACCATATTTTGAGGTCATGCTTCTTTCCCGTGGCAACTTATGGACTGATAATCATGGATTGTCACTCAGTGTTTGGGAAAATTACCGAAGCTTTTAAACTGAAATGCTGCAGAAACAGTCTTAAAATACCATGAATATATATATATATATATATATATATATATATATATATATATAGAACAACGTCGACAGCCTGCATGACGTAAACATCAAAGAGAACTGGCTGGCAAACAGCATCTTTAGACATTTTGATTTGGCCTCGACGACATTAACATCATGACACAAGAGTAGCAACCCATAAGTGCTCTGTTCTACTTCTAACTTAAGCCTGAGTCTAAAGAATCTCAGCGCAGTGCACAAACTTCGTACGTAGCACCGGCGAGTATCCCGAAATACTTTGACCAGATTTTTACTCGAAATTTTGCCCGCGCAGCGCCTTTAGGCTACTCTTCTCGATTTCCAACTGCCAAGGGATTTTTTTTACGTGCGCAACAAAACACTCCTTATTCGACAGGATCGACTTCTTTACACCGGGTTTTATTCCATTAGCTCCAGCTCTCTCTGCAAAACGGCTAGCCGCCTGTCAAAGCGTCCCACAAAGCATAAACACCACAGCTCCGGCGACGTTGCAAACACCTGGTGGGGTTGGTTCTGAAGTGTCGTATAAAAGATAGGCATCATCATCATGTAGCAGATCCTTTGCATAGTCTCATCACGGTCTGCCTGAAAGAAACTTGTTCTCTCGCCAGCTCTCCCGCCTCGTGTACTTTCATATTTAAAGTTAGTTTCGTATCCTTTACAGGACGTTGCAGAACCAACCCCATCATTTTTGGCTGTTGTGGGTTTTCTAGGCAAGTTAACGTCCAATAGTTTGCCATTGCTTTTTGGACGGTCAGCTTCTTGATACCACTTTAGACACCAACGCAAGGCTTGCAGTTGGGATCGAACCCGACCCTCCGGCATAACGAAGCGCATACGCAACGCCTTAGCCACAGATACAGATTCAAGGAGCCACTTAAATCATGTGCCTATTTTCGCGTTAGTCCACCCCTGCCTCTCCTTTCCGGTACCATGCCTTCTGCTAGTATTCTGCTTCTAAAGGACAGGCAACTAACTTTAAAAATAGATTATACAGATAGACAGACAGACATAAATGTAGACAGGCAGACACACACAGGCATTAAGATAAACATACAGGCAGGTAAACAGGCACACAGAGAGAGAGAGAGAGAGAGACAGAGAGAGATATGTACATCACATGCCCTGATAACGAGCAGAGAGATATATAAACAGCAAGCAAAGTATGCATGCAGGCAGGCAGACAGGCGCAGTCTGTGTACAGGCAAAGAAACAGGCAGACAGACGCACAGACAGTCAGGTATTCTGCTGATAGCCAGGCAGACAGATTCACATACACATAGAAATTCGGGTATGCACATGGAATGGCAGCCAGACATACAAAGAGATAGCCAGGTGGTAGGCTGTCAGGCAGGTAGACAGACAAACACACAAACATATCATAGATGTAATTACCGAGTATCTGTTTGTTGAAGTCAACCCATTGTCCACGCCAGTAGACGCCATAATTCTGCCATCTTTGTCCCAGACGATCTGAGGTCGAGGGTCACCCAAGGCCACACAGTGCAGCATCGCAGGCTGACCTTCGAAAGCGGTTGTCATGTTTGGTGGTCGGATGCTAAAGCTAGGTTTTTCTGCGTAGACAAAAACAGGACTAATTAAGTATCAAACAGTGCTGCCAATGATGGTTTTTTACCCACAGATCTGGGTTTTTATTTGATGCTTAGGTTAAGATTTAAGAATCTCAGGTTTTTTTTTTTTTAACAAAATATTTCCTTTCATAAAAGTGGGTAAAAATTTCGTTTCGTAACAAAATATTTTTACTTTTTATCAGTCTTGGGTTTTTGAGTTTGTTAATTGCTTTTTGCTTTTGTATTGCTGGGTTTTTAGGCCAGCTTAGCTTGGGATTTGATAAAAATCGCAATGGCAGCCCTGGTCTCAAAGCCGATTATTTGCTTATTATTTTTAGTGGAAAAAAAGGGCTTTTCAGCCGAAATGCTGTAGAAAGATTATCAGAATAACATGGACAAAGAAGAAAAGAAATCCTAAAAGATCTGAACATCAAGGGTCAATCTGTCTGTAGTGAAATTGGAACTGACTAACAACACACCCACCAACCACTTCTAGTATGACCGTTTGTACGGTCGATTTACAAAACAATGAAAACTTGTGGTTCAAAAACGTAAAATGCCAGTAAAGAAAAACGTAGGTCTAATCAAGTCTAGTTTTATCAAAGTGGCGGTTGTTTTGGCTTGGAAATTATAGAGTTACTGTTAGAGACATAACAAGCACATAGAAAGCAACTTTGCTCTACTGGATCAAGTGTTGAGGAAGGAAAATAATGACTGTGGTTGGACAAGAGGGTTGTGTAGGTTTGATGTTAGAGTGTGAGAGGACACATACCAGCAAACAAACACACACAGAAATATATATATATATATATATATATATATATATATATATATATATATATATATATAAAGAGAGAGAGAGAGAGAGAGAGAGAGAGAGCGCAATTTTTCAGTGCTATGTATTAATGACAAAAAGGGGACTGAGGAGGATCGGGGATTAAAAAGAGACAAAATCTATAAGTATGTTTCCGATACGAAGAGGTTCGCCATAACATTATACAGCGCAATGGCAACTTTGAACCTCTTTTAACTTCAGTAAAAAAGGTGAAAAATGCAAAGGTATGGACATGTAATAAGATCTAACGAACTCTCAAAAACAATACTGCAGGGCATAGTATAGGGAAAGCGGATAAAATGCAGATAAGACAGACCTGGTTACAGAATCTGCCTGGACAGGCCTTAGGCATGAAACCATGAAATCCATCGCAACTGACCGCCAAAGAGAGCTGATCAGACAGTCAACAGAAACTGGTGACCCAAGGACACGTAGTGTTACGGGACAATGAGGATGATGATATATATCATATGGATAGACAGGGTACATATGGACGTAGCCTGCAGTCCGTCGTGGGACATAAGCTGCTCTTTCTCTTAAGGGACGTAGGAGGGTTGGAGTTAGGGCAAGTTCTGCATGTTTTGGGACCGTGCAAAGCGCACACATCCTGTAATATAGAACACGCGATATTTCTGGCCGGTCACAACAACTAGTAAAAAGCTGCGTGTTGTTGGCCGGTCACTGAGCTTGACACTTCCGCAACATAGCACAAGCTCTTCAATTTATGAATGGGAAGGGAAGTCACTCTCTTTCTGGCCCCGTAAACATGACAAGTACTACATATATATATATATATGTGTATATGTATATATATATATATATATATATATATATATATATATATATATATATATATATAAAACACTCGGTATTCACAGCTGAGAGAGAGAGAGAGAGAGAGAGAGAGAGAGAGACAGACAGACAGAGAGAGAGAGACAGACAGACAGAGAGAGAGAGAGAGACTTGGAAAAAGGCTAACGAAAGCAGAAGAGGACATAGGAGGAGTGAGATGAGGAGGATGAGAATAATAAAAAGTAGAATGGAGACTGAAAAGAACTACGTATGTGGTGTTAGTTGTTGAAATTTACTAAAGAGAGAAATACAGAGATAAATCACGAACAGAAGTCTTTGGCGATGGATAGGACAGACCTTGAGAAAAACAGAGAACAATATAACTGGAATATCTTTGCACTGGTATTCAGAGAAGCAAAGAAATAAAGTCAGACAAACACAAACACTTGCACTCACACATGGTGAAGGGAGCTACAGAGTCAAGTTAAAATTATGGGGAGGACATGTTGTAAGCTGCATGCAATAGTGAACGATGGAACGACTTTATATGAGTTGGTTGAGGGCCTTTGCTCCACTGAAGGATAGTAGGCAGAAGAAGAAGAAGCAGAGGATGTCTTTCAGCGGATAAGAAAACATCTTACCAACAATTCGGAAAGTGACAGTTGCATTGATTCGCCCCTGTTTCCGATGGGATGCCATGCACATGTAATCGCCCTCGTCTTCCCGTCGAACTCTCTCGATGTGTAGAGTGCCTCGATCCTCGTACATATGGTCTGGAAGTTTAATCTCTCCGCCAAGCTTGACCCACTGAATCAATGGCGGCGTTATGGCTGCGGCGTGGCACTTGATGCTGGCGGATTTGTCTAGTTCCAGGTAGTAGATGTTGTCGGGCATGGGATCAAACTTGAGTTTTCCTGTGGATAATTTGAAACTCAAGATCACTAGCTCACGACTCTTCTGATATTGCTTCTTCTTAGCATTCACAGACTGTAAACCCCTGGAAAAAAAGTATTGTTGTTCGTCCCCCTTTGAATGTTGGTCCAGTTCTAGTATATGAGTTTTACATGTACATCTTCTGTTTCGCAGACTTGGCTTATTTTTATGCAGACTGTTGGTTCCTTGCCACTGCAGCCGGACTTTGAAGGAAACATCTTTAATTATTATTTGCCTTGTACGACATGCAGTCGTCCCCCCCCCCCCCCGCCCCCTCCTCCCAAAAAAATGTGGCTCCAGAACTCACACGGGGATACGCAATATTAAAATCACTGATGAACATTTGCTTGAAGCAGCACTCACACTAACACCAAAGTCGCCACTATGCACCAGTCAACACATTATATGTGTCTAAATAAAGTAAATAGTTAGTTTAGTTTTTCCTTCCACGTATGCCGCTAAGCGTTGTGGGGAGATGCAAGTTCCTGTCATAAGCAAGGCGGGCAGCATCTGATGTTCTGAGGCCATGCTTTTGGCAGGTTTCGGAGACCCCGTCAATCCATCGTTTCCTTGGTCTTCCTCTTGCCTTATATCCTGAGCTTCTTTGGTTGAAAATTTGTGATGTTATTTGATCATTTTTCATCCTGGTTAGATGTCCAAACCATTTCATTCTTTGATGTTCTATGTAGTCTAAACATGGCGTAGTTTTGACAGTGTTTCTAATGTCTATATTCTTTATCCTGTCTAGTCTGGTCTTGTTCGCTGCTTTTCTTAGACATTTCATTTCACAGGCTTCTATTTTTCTTTCATGGGTCTTGTTGATTGTCCATGTTTGGCACTGGTAGCAGAGTGTTGGAATGAAGATGGTGTTTATCAATTGTCTTTTGGTCTTCATGGTTATATCTGGATGTTTAAGCAGAGGTGATAGTTGGTATGTGACAGCATTTGCTTTCTGTATTCTTGTTTCTATCTCTCTGTCCATTCTTCCATCCTCTGTAAATATACTGCCCAAGTATTTGAACTCTTTGGTTTGCTTGATTTTGGCACTTCCAACATTTATATTCAGTGGCCTGTGTGTTCTGCTGATCTTCATAACTTCTGTTTTTTCTGTACTGATTCTCATATTATGTTGTAAACAGCTGTTGTTGAGAGTAGTCAGATGTTCCTGTAGATCATATTCATTTTGATACAGTATGCTTTGATCATCAGCAAAAAGTAATTCGTTTATAGCATACACGTCTGGGTTTGCTTCTACAGTGATCTTATCCATGTATGTTATGAAAAGTAATGGTGACAGTACACATCCTTGTCTGACACCAGTTGTGACTTTGAACCATTCAGAAAGACCACTAGATGTTCTTACTGCACTTTCACTTTTTTCATAGAGGGCTCTGATGTTGCCTAATAATTGACCCTGCACTCCGTAATCGTCAAGAATTCCCCACAGCACATCTCTGTCTACACGGTCGAATGCCTTCTCTTGATCTACAAAGACCACGTTCAGCTCTGTATCGTATTCGAGTGTCTTTTCACAGGCTTGTCTTAGTGCAAATATGGCATCAGTGCAACCTCGCCCTTTCCTGAAACCGAATTGTGCTTTACTCAGTAGAGGTTCAACCTTTGCTCTTATCCTACCTTCTAAGATCTTTGCATACATTTTCCCCACATGACTTAGTAAAGATATTCCTCTATAAGTTCCACATTCTCTCTTGTTTCCTTTTTTCTTCCAGATAGGTACTACAACTGATCTTTGCCAATCCACTGGTACCTTTCTCTCTGCCCATGCTCTATTGAAAATTCTCTCCAGCCAGGTGATCATAGTGTCCCCTCCAGCCTGGATGACTTCTGTTGTTATTCCGTCAATACCAGCTGCTTTGTGTCTTTTACTTGTTTTGATAACTTTCTCTACTTCATCCCGCAGGATATGTGGTTCTAGATGATCTGGAGCCCTTGAATGGAATTCTGCTGTTTCATGTACTCCCGACGGGTTCAAAAGTTCTTTAAAATATTCCTCCCATCTTTTTTTAATTTCTTTTTGGCTGAATAATGGTTTTTCCATTTTTATCGTTTATGACTGATGTTGGATTGAAGCTTTCTTCTCTTAATCGCATCGCTTTCACACTCTTATAAAAGTCTCTTGGTGATTCTGTACAAAGCTGTGTTAGGTGTTCACCATACTTTTTCCATGATTCCTCTTTGGATTTCTTTATTGTTCTCTTGGTGTCTCTTCGAGTTAGTCTGTACCTAATGTAATCCTTTTCGTCTTTTGTTTTTAACCATATTTGAAACATCTTCTTTTTATTTGACACTGCTTCTTTGACTTCTTCATTCCACCAAGCGGTACCCTTTTTCTTGCCTTTGCCCGTCTTTCTGGTACCACACTTGTCTTTTAATATCTTCGTGATGGTTGATTTATAATAATCCCATTCTTCTTTCAATTCTTACTGGTTCCTTGGCAATATCTGCAAAAGCCTTTGTTATTTCTAGTTCAAATTCTTGTTTGATATTCTCTTCCTCTAATTTCTTAGTGTTGATGATTTCTTCACGTTTCTGTTTATGTAGACTGTTTCTACTTGAGTTGCATATGTTCATAACTACTGGGCGATGGTCTGAATCCAGTCCCGCATTTGGGACAGCTTTTGAGTCTCTTACCGTCCTCTTCTGCCGTTGTCTGACTAGTATAAAATCAATTTGTGACGCTTGATCTAAGTTGTTCCACTTGTACCACGTTTTAACCTGACTTTGGCGATGTTGGTAGAATGTGTTGGTAATGTAGAGATCTTGTTCAGCACACAAGTTTAACAGGTGTTCTCCATTTCTATTGCAATCTGTGGTTGTGTCGCTGAATGGGCCAAGGTATCTCTCCCATGGTGATCTTCTTTTACCTACCCTACCATTAAAATCTCCCATTACTATGATGTCCTCTTTCTCTTTAACATTATTGATGGTGTCCGTAAGTCTCTCGTAAAAGTCTTCTTTTTCTTCTTCAGAATAACTATCGTTGCAAGGTGCATATATCTGAATAATCGTTGTAGTTTTACTTCCTTCTGTCAACTTTATTAAAATAATTCTTTCTGATATAAATTCTGTTCCTGTTATTAATTTTGCTGTCTCGGGATGAAGTATAAATCCGACACCATGTTTTGCCCTATCTTTAGTGGGTACTCCGGTCCATAATAAAACATAATAAAGTAAATAAAGGACTCTTTTTCCCGCGCCTTCGGGTGTGTTGAGCATAGAGGGCATTGAACCCGGCACTCCGGCATTACGAAGCGCGCGTTGGCAACGCCTTAACCACAGACGCCGACGTATGGATGTATATCGTTAAAATCACTTCATCTTCTGTATGGGCACCAGTGATGGTTCTACTCCCAAAAGGATATCATAAGAGAGCAACTGGCGCCCATAGATTAAAAAAGAAAGAATGACGCCCAAGGTAATAGAGACAAATCAAGATAAAATCGTCTTAGTATCATCATCAACATCATGTAGCAGGTCCTTGCAGAACATCGCTCTCATCACAGTCTGTCTGAAATAAACTCGGTCTCTCGCCAGTTCTCTCGCCTTATGTACTTTTATACTCAAGGAGTCACTTATATCCTGTGCCCATCTTGGTGTCGGTCGGCACCTGCACCTCCTTCCTGGTACCATGCCTTCTGCTATAATTTTATCCAATTCTCCGCGGCGCTTGATATGACCAAAATATTTCAGCTTCCGAGAAAGGATGCTGTTTATTAGCCAGATCTTTTAAGATGTCAATATTTCTCATCTTCCTTGTCCAAGATATTCTGAGAATCTTTCTTTAGCATTTTAGCTCAAAAGCCCCTATTCTCTTTCTCAAGGACTGAGAGATAGGTCTTAGTATAAAACACTAAAACAACACGAGCTAACATGGTCTTACTAGAAACTTTCAGATTTGCTGGACTTGAGACCTTGACCGGATGACCAGTCGTGTTGGCTACACAGGCGTAGTTTCCCGCGTCTACTGCTCTTACTTGTGGGATCACCAGGGTCCCTTCTTTAGGGTTGATCTGAAACTGCTTTGACCCCTGAAATCAAAAACAACCTTTGGTACTTAATTTATAACTTACCCCTGACGTCACGACAACGTCACGGGAGACATTCCCAAAAAATTATAGGGTGTTCAGGTTGTAGTTTCTCGCGATTTATCTACACCCAAGTTTAGGGTTAGGGTTAGGGTTAGGATTAGAAGACACTAGATGAACACTCAAAAAAAAAAAAACACACACACACACAACAGCACACTTTCACCCCTTTAAATAATGGACTGTCGGGTCAGCTGTGGATTTTCCACGGGGATTTCGTGTTTGGGGTACGTTATAAATTAAGAACCCAACCTTTCTTCATTTGTGGGTGAAAATAGATGACCTAATTCTAGCTTAGTATACCGGGATTTAATCACCACAAAGTTGCAAGTTTCAAGTATTGACCAGTTCGAGCCGCGTTAGCGCAGTCGATAGGAGGCTCGTTTTCAAATACAGCTGGGACTCGCTGCTGCCACGGTCGGTGTTCGAAACCGGGCGGTTCATCCAGCCTCTAGAAAATGGGTACCAGAGTTGACACTCTGGGGTGAATGGAGGATCGTCGCTGTAGCTACGGAGTTACGTGTGTACGATGACACAGGCGGACATTTTCTTATCAGCTGTCCGTACTGGTGGCAGAGCATTTATGGCTTATAACCGTGTGCAAAGACGCTGGTTCGCCTTTATTGACCAGTTCACTAATTGGTCTACCTAGCCTTGTAAATGTGGGTCGAAGTTTAACCCCAGTCCTGTAAGGTCTTATATAGATTACAGCTGGCTTAGAAACGTGCATCTTAACAGTTGAAAGTGGATACAAGAAAAATTCTTGACATATCTTACGAAGACCATGTGACAAATGACAAGGTTAGCCATATAATTAGCCAGTAAACTGGCGACTATGGTAAAGTAAAGGTTCCTTTCCCACGCCTTTATGCGTACTGGGAATATAGGGCTTGGCGTATATATATATAGGGCCGGCTGCCTTTACTTCCTAGGACTGGACCTGGTACCCACTCAAAGCTGGGTCGACCTGAGAGTCAAGGAAACTGGCAACTAAGAACCTCTTAACTATTGTGAAAAGACGGAAAATGGAATGGTACGGATGCGTACACAGATTTAATGGTCTCTTTACAATATAAATAACACAGGGCTCAATAGAGGAGAAGAGGCAGACCAAGATACTGGGCAGGCCTTGGGCATGCAACAATAGTCAGCTGACCGTCAAAGGTGGAGGGAGCTTGTCAGCCAAGAGCAACTGTTGGCCCATCGACACTCAAGTGTTGCGGGACGACAATAATGATGCAGGTTAAAATCATCGCTTTACTGCATCCACGGGGCTTTAAACACAAAATATTATACGAGATACATTGTTGTTCTAGTGACTTAGTGTCATCATCCCTAAGTGCATTTCCGACTGGCGTGGGCGATCCACAATCCACGATCCGAAACTGCGTGTATCAGTTCGTGTGCGGACACCCCTCCATTCCACGACAAACAGCTGTCAAGAATCTTCTCGCGCTGTCCTCCTCTGTCTCTCTGTCCACGTTTCTTTCCAGTGTTCACAATTAGTCATAGTTTCTCTCTTCTCGTAACATGACCAAAAAAGGATGACTTTTGAGAGGAAGTCTTAGTTTTAAGTTAGTTGCGTATCCTTTACATGAGGTTACAGAACCAAGCTAGACATTTCTTGGCTGCTGTGGTTTTTTAAGGCAAAGTTTACATTCAGTATTTTGCCACTGTTTACTGAATGGCCACCTCTCAGTACCAATGTAGAAACCAATGCAAGACAGCCCGCAGCTGGGATCGAACCCGACACCCTGGCATTACGAAGCACGTTAGCAACGCCTAAGCCACAGACGGTCTTGGTGTGCCCAAACTAAATTTAACACAGACAAACATACAATGCAACGAATGATGATCATGGGTATCTTATAGTCACACATGGCATGTTGACTGGTACCAAACGAGTGAAATAATGAAATATTCATTTTCTACTTTCTTACATTCAATTAGGAATATTATCTCGATACCTTCTTTATCTTGTTATTTATTTAAAAAAAAAAAACCAATATTCTCGTTGCTGTCCTTTGTCTCTCAATTTCCTTCGCCTTTTTTGTGAATTCCGATTGTAATTCATTTTAGGAAAAAAAATCAAAAACTCAGCCACGTTCACCTGCTGCTAGCTAGCCGAAGCTGCCGACAGTCTCCGGCTATATTTGTGGTCTTGTTTATTTGCGCACACTTTTGTGGCTAAAGTTCTAGTATTTGCTTTGTCTCTGTGTTTAATGCTTCCTTCCTCCATGTCAGACCGCCATAATTTATAGTTTTAAAATTTTACTTTGCCGAAAAGTACTGAAAACAGTTTTTGGGTTTGGATAGACCCGAAATGTGAAAATATTCCGCGTGTGACCATAGTAGTCTTATTGTTGTCTTCCTGCAATAAGAATGGGTTAATTCTGTCATGGAAATGTGTGTGAAATGTTAAGTGGAGCCTCACAATGATTCTCTTCGTCATTTGTTATAGTGTGGTCCGATTGTGTCAATTTGGGTTGGTAACAAAGCTCCGGTGTACGTAAATACCAGATCTCTGGAATACGCATCACGTCTTTACCATCGTAGCATTGGATAAGGAAAGGGAGGGGGGGGGGCTGTGAGTGGAATTGGTGGTTAGGTGTTCTGGGACTGTCCTTTTTCTGAACGTTTCTTGAAACTACTGGTGCCAGACAACGTACCGCTAGGAAAGCACAGTTATACAACATATAAACTGGTTTTTCATTTAAGTTCACCCAGGGGCTACAATTTTGAAAATCGGGCCACAGACCTGAACCTCAGCATAGAAACATCATTAACACAAGGCAACTGGCTATGATCCGAGGGCCACTTGCTTAACCACTGCGGGCCTAATTTGGCCCGCGGACATTTATTTGAATAGCTCTGAAATACAGGTTAGTGCAAACAACATCAGACAATACATGTGCTAGCAGATACAAGATGAGACACCACGCGTGTTGATGTGCCCAGTTTAATCAAATAAATGTGCAAATACATTTGCAAGTATACACATCATTCTACGACATACGCTAGAGCACACACCAGAACAGACAACATACGCTATAGCACACACCAGAACAGACAACATACAGTGGCACAGGACCACACAGACCGACATACCATGGGCAGTGGAATACCGTCTTTCATCCACAGTACCGTTGTGACCGGGTACGGGGTACCCGCCACCTGACAGCTCAACAAAGCACTGCCGTCCTCGTCCACGGTCAAAGGTTGGGGCACTCTGCTGATTATTGGCGGAACTGTGGAGTAAATTGTCGTCCTTTTTATTATTATTATTATTATTTAAAGTAGTAGTAGAAGTGGTTATAGTAGTAGTTGTAATAGTAGTTGTTGTTTTTGTAGTTATTGTAGTAGTAGTAGTAGTAGTAGTAGTAGTAGTAGTAGTAGTAGTAGTAGTAGTAGTAGTAGTAGTAGTAGTAGTAGTAGTAGTAGTAGTAGTAGTTGTTGTTGTTGTTGTTGTTGTTATAATAGTGGCCGCCGTGGTGCTGCGGCTAGTTGCATCGAGTGTTTTTTTTTCTTTTAAAAGTGACCATAGCTCGCAAGTCGACCCAGCCTGAAATAAGTACTAGGTAATGTCAAGGGAAGTAAAGGCGACTGGCTTGATGTTGAACATAGCACTAACCGAGTGTCGATTGGTCAGTAAAATACAGGTCTAGCCCTACTCATCCATTAGGCTTATTATTATTATTATTTTCTCAGTCAAATGGCTCAGTCATGTAACAGGAGTGTACAGAGAATGTGTGACGTCAAGGCACAGGCAAGGTTAGGGTAATGATCAGGGAGATGGGGAGATAATCAATAATTCGATGTACAAAGCACAAGCTTTAGCAGTGTTTCTCAACTTTTCTAATGCCACCACCCTTTAATACAGTTCCTCATAATGTGGCGATCCCTAACCATACACTTACTTATTTACTTTGCTACTTCGTCAATTCAATGAATATTTGTTTTCCGATGGTCTCGTGATAGGGTCGCCACCCATAAGTTAAGAACCACTGAGCTAGAGGCTATCAGCCAGCTCTCATTTTAGGTTGCAATAAAAACAAAAACTTTGCAATAGAAAGGGAGGATGTAGTGGAGAAGCATGGAAGCAATGAAGAAGAAGAAGAAGAAGAAGAAGAAGAAGAAGAAGAAGAAGAAGAAGAAGAAGAAGAAGAAGAAGAAGAAGAAGAAGAAGAAGAAGAAGAAATAAGAAGAAGAAGAAGAAGAAGAAGAAGAAGAAGAAGAAGAAGAAGAAAGAAGAAGAAGAAGAAGAAGAAGAAGAAGAAGAAGAAGAAGAAGAAGAAGAAGAAGAAGAAGAAGAAGAAGAAGAAGAAGAAGAGGAGGAAGAGGAAGAAGACAAAAGAATTAGAAAAAAGACAGAAGAAGTAGACAGAAGAAGTAGAAAGAAGAAGAAGAAGACGAAGAAGAAGAAGAAGAAGAAGAAGAAGAAGAAGAAGAAGAAGAAGAAGAAGAAGAAGAAGAAGAAGAAGAAGAAGAAGAAGAAGAAGAAGAAGAAGAAGAAGAAAAAGAAGAAGAAGAAGAAGACAAAAGAATTAGAAAAAAGACAGAAGAAGTAGAAAGAAGACAGAAGAAGTAGAAAGAAGACAGAAGAAGTAGAAAGAAGAAGAAGAAGAAGAAGAAGAAGAAGAAGAAGAAGAAGAAGAAGAAGAAGAAGAAGAAGAAGAAGAAGAAGAAGAAGAAGAGGAAGAAGAAAGAAGAAGAAGAAGAAAGAAGAAAGAAGAAGAAGAAAAAGAAGAAGAAGAAGAAGAAGAAGAAGAAGAAGAAGAAGAAGAAGAAGAAGAAGAAGAAGAGAAAGAAGAAGAAGAAGAGAAGAAGAAGAAGAGAAGAAGAAGCGAAATAATAAGCAGTGAGTAAAAGAAGTTAAATCAGTTTATACTTCTTTTGTTTTTTTCACATATTTACTTGATCATTATGGTTCTTTCTCCTGTTCACACGCGTTTTCATAAACATAATAATCATTGCCAAAACAAAGTCATGTCTAGAGAACTAACTGACAAACCGGCTGGCTGTCTAAAACTTGATTGGCTGGCCAGTAGTTTGATGTGGGACAGGATCTATTGAATAGCCCTCTGATTACTTCCGACTACTGCCCCAAGACTAGACAGACAACCGAATCTCGGCAGTCTGTCTGAACAGTACTTGACAGCAGTCAGGTAGGTCGTTAACCGATTTCCTTTCATGTAGACAGGCTTGGGAATTTTCGCCGTCCGTTACTAGGGGGAAGACTTTGGGGGAGGGGAGGTAATGGTGAGAAGATTATTTGCAGCGGGTGAATATTTTTTCTGGGTTTGTCTGTGTGGCCGTGCATTCGGAGAGAGATAGAAAGATAGACAGGGAGTGATAGGAGGATAGTGTGTGTCTATATATGTGTGTGTGTGTGTGTGTTAGAAATTATAAACAGGTAGACTGCGAGAGAGATTTATAGAGACAGACAGACAGACAAACAGGCAGGCAGGCAGGCAGGTAGACAGACAGACAGACAGACAGACAGACAGACAGACAGACAGACAGACAGACAGACAGACAGACAGACAGACAGACAGACAGACAGACAGACAGACAGACAGACAGACGGTCTGAGCCAACGAAAAATTATGGGGGGGGGGGGGGAATCGGAACAACATCCACAAAAGAAAACTAGCAGAACAGAGAGAAAGCGAGAGAGAGAGAGAGAAAGAGAGAGACAGAGAGAGAAAGAAAGAGATAGTGATAGAGAGAAAATGAGAGAGAGAACGAGATAGAAAGAGATGGAGAGATAGAAAAGAGATAGAGATAGATAAAGAAAGAGCAAGAGAGAAAGAGATATAGAGAACTAGAAAGAGAAAGTGAGAGAAAGACAGAGAGATAGACGGACAGAGAGAGCGATATAGAGAAATAGAGATATAGAGATAAAGAAAGAGATAGAGATAGAAATAAAGAGAGATAAAGAAAGATAGAAAGAGATAGAGATAGTAGAAAAAGAGAGAAAGAGATGAGAGAACTAGACAGAGATAGAAAGAGACTAAAGAGAGAGAGAGAAAGAAAGCACAGAGAGAGAGAGAGAATGCGAGAATGCGAGATAGAGAGAAAGAGAGAGAAAGGGGGATATAGATTAGATAGATAGATTTAGTTGCTTTTCAGTTCATTATACTTATCATACCCCTAATCATCATCATCATAACCGTCATCATCGTCATCGTCGTCATCATCATCATCATCATTATTATCATCATCATCATCATCATCACATCATCATCATCGTCATCATCGTCATCACATCATCCTCATCATCATCACCATCATCAACATCGTCATCGTCATCATTACCATCATCATCGTTATCGCATCATCATCGTTATCATCATCACGACATCATCATTATCATCATCACATCATCATCATCATCAACATTAACATTATCATCATCGTCATCACACCATCGTCATCATCAACTTCATCATCATAGTCATTATCACCATCATTATCGTTATCATGGTCATTATCATCGTCATCATCATCGTCATTATCATCACGAACTTAAACAAAGCTTAGTCCTTGTCGCCCCTCTACCTCAATGTGTCACGGGGTTGAGGCTCCCCCCCCCCCCACCCCATGTTTGCTGTACGTAGGTGCCCCTGGTTAGTAGTCATGGCTCTATATTTGTGTACAGATCCTAGCTTCATGAATCATCATCGGCAACCGGGCCATCCACTTGCTCGCCGGTAGACGACTGCGTTGCTTGTTTGGGTTTGTCTCCTTTGATCGCATCAACACTGCATGAATCCCTTTCAGGGCTCTTAGTGGCGTGCAATACAAACCATTTTATGTGCCGCAAATAACCTAGTCACAATTATAACCTTAACCCCCCCCCCTCCCTTTAGGCAGGCTAGTTGAAAGTGACAATTAAAAAAAACTGATGGTGATGACGACGACGATGAAAATGATAAGGATGATGAAGATGATTCTTCAAGTGTGGGTCTTTCGAAAGTTTTTTGCCCCAAACACACCGTGATTGGACGTTCATTCATGCTTTCTGACCTTTCACAAGCGTTAGTCTAAGTTACAGGGGACTCACGTTGTGTTCTCTTTGACGCTATCACCGGCGATATATTGTGATCTATATAACACGATCTTACCGCTTTTAACGACCCCACAACATCTATAAATGGCCCTAAGCTCCCCATACACCCCCTCCCACTGCACAGCCTCAGCCTACGTCCCATGAGAGAGCGTAGCATACTTCCCCTGGTTTCAGAATTGTCAACATTTTGCGCCAGGCCCTAAAATGCAGTCTTGTTAAATACAGAAAAGCAGCCCTGCTCACCTTGTCGATCTTCAACGCTCACAGCCGAAGTAAATTCATGTCCTACTTGAAGTCCGACAGAGCTATAAAATACGCAATCTCGCCGGCCGGTCACACCCGCTAGTACACAGCGCGTAATATACACGGCTCAGAAGATAGAATACAACGTACGGTCACACCCCTGCAACTTAGACTAGCGCGTGTGAAAGGTCATGAATCATGAATAAACGGCCAATCAAGGTGTGTTTGTGGCGGAAAACGTTACTTGAACCCACGAATGAGATGGCCAACAGCACACCAGCTTTCCCTTTACTGCTCACCAAATTCCTAGGTATCTTATCTATTTTAGGCTAGATGTTCAGACAATTAGAAAAACAAATAACTCCACCTAGACAAGAATTCCATCAGTGAATTACATGAACGGCATACATGCGTTAGACACTACGTCATGGTTGGATTTTGATTTGATGAGACCCTAAGAATATGAAAGCCGCGAGGCGCCTTCTTCAGCCCATGAGGTTCATTGCAGCAGATATCACCCGCCTCCAGTCCTCTCTCTGGTTGGTCTTCTCTTTCCAGTTGTTTTACAGTTCTCTCTGGACATTATCTCTTCGTCGTCTGCTTGGTCTGCCTCATGGTCTACGACCATTCATCTCCCTTGTGTATACAGTGAGGCTCCTACCATTTGAAATGACACCAGCCTCATCTCATACAACTTGAAAAGTCCAAGTCCATGCACAAACAAATTAAAAACTGTACCCCTTTCAATCTCTTGATAGCTAGACATGGTAGCTAGAAATGATAGCTAGCCATGACAGCTAGACATGATAGCTAGACATGATAGTTAGCCATGATAGCTAGACATGACAGCTAGACATGACAGCTAGACATGATAGCTAGACATGACAGCTAGACATGACAGCTAGACATGATAGCTAGACATGACAGCTAGACATGACAGCTAGACATGACAGCTAGACATGATAGCTAGACATGATAGTTAGCCATGATAGCTAGACATGATAGCTAAACATGATAGCTAGACATGATAGCTAGACAATATAGCGAGACATGATAGCTAGACATGATAGCTAGACATGATAGCTAGACATGATAGCTAGACAATATAGCGAGACATGATAGCTAGATATGATAGCTAGACATGATAGCTAGCCATGACAGCTAGACATGATAGCTAGACATGATAGCTAGACATGATAGCTAGACAATATAGCTAGACATGATAGCTAGATATGATAGCTAGCCATGACAGCTAGCCATGACAGCTAGACATGATAGCTAGACATGATAGCTAGACATGATAGCTAGACATGATAGCTAGACAATATAGCTAGACATGATAGCTAGACATGATAGCTAGCCATGACAGCTAGCCATGATAGCTAGACATGACAGCTAGACATGATAGCTAGACATGATAGCTAGACATGATAGCTAGACATGATAGCTAGACAATATAGCTAGACATGATAGCTAGATATGATAGCTAGCCATGACAGCTAGCCATGACAGCTAGACATGATAGCTAGACATGATAGCTAGACATGACAGCTAGATATGATAGCTAGACATGACAGCTAGACATGATAGCTAGACATGATAGTTAGCCATGATAGCTAGACAATATAGCTAGATATGATAGCTAGACATGATAGCTAGCCATGATAGCTAGCCAACAACTTAAAAATGTCTAACGCCGTTTAAATACCTGGTTAATGGAAATATTCTGTTGTTGAGCTTTTATTAACAGAAATTATAAAGAATGCTGAGATGGTCCAAGTTAATAAAAGATGGAAGTTGGCGTATATCAAACTGATTCTTTTATTCAATTTAAACAGGCTACAACAAGTCAGAATAAGTAAAAGCCTGAGGTAATATACCCACCAACCAGCAAGGCTACCCCGGTCAACAAATGTCCGTAGAAGTCGGATGTGTTGGTCGAAAAGTGCAAATATCGCAGCTATGCTGTAAACGGAGACAACGCAATTACATCTTCCGATGAACGCAGAAGAAGATATACCCACCAAAATATTTAAAGAAATTAAAGAAAACAATTAATGAAGAAAAATTGTAGACATATTAAAAGAAAATGACATTTGTGGAAGAAAACGAATATGTTGAGGCTCCTGCAGATAATGAGGCCTTAATCTGTAGCTTATTTAGCTAATACTTAACCCCAGCACTGCACAGCATCTCCGGGGATTCCATCTTCATATACTGAGTGAATCTGTCGACACTTATACACAAACAAAACTTGGTAATAAGTTACAGAGGCATCGCGTCTCAGAAACAAGACGCTGGTTTGAATTTGAGTCGCCATTCTCGGACTCAAAAACAAAGATTCGTGTTCGTTATTTAGGAGGAAAACACCAGATGGTTTTGAAGACACCACAAGAGTAACAGGAGATACGTTTGGATGTCCACAGTTCAAAACATTGCACCACATGTTGAGATTTGACTGAGATACCTCACACGAAGGCATAGAGTTTTGCCCAGTGGTAAGGGGTTGGGGTGTGTTCTTTCAAACGAGATAACTTAAAACTAGGATTCCCAAGCATTTCATGGGCTTTAGAAGGGAACAAATATAATAAATGCCCGAAACGTCTGTTATGCGAAAATGATGAACTTGCAATAGCAAACGTTAAATATGACAAATGACTGACTGACTTTCTACCCCACTAGGATATCACACAAGCGATAAACACCCGACGACCCAAAGTGCCACTATGTGGATGAGTATCACCAGTGGAGAGGTCCCAGAAACCGCGTTCAGCCATTAGACCATATTTATGGTCGGGCAATATTGCGGCCCCTGGAAAGAGCCAGAGTAGGGCTTCCAACAACGAAAAATCGCATCCCTGAAAGAGATGACAGGATGGGGACAAATGAGTAAATTTCCCTCTTTTATCCATGAATAGGATGCAAATGCTAAAGCAAACAGTACATTGCCTACATGAAGCACAGTGATAGATATAGGCAGATTCTATGGGGACAAAACAAAGAACAAACAATCATGACTGTGATTCCGCAACCATGAGCAGACTGCAAGAACATGCTAAAAGGCGACTTCCGGTCAAAATGGACGCCAGGCGCGGTTACTGTTTCGCGTCGAGGCAAATTTGTTGCTTCTGCCAGACGGTGGCCGTTGCATTTTTGATCTATTTGTAGACTGAAAGGATACAGTTTCGTCGCGCCAGCTACTGAGTTGAGTGCCTGTCACGACCCTTTGAGCTGCGGATTTCATTTGGAATGTTTTTCGACTGTGACCAACGTGGTGTTGTGAGCTCTAAATTCTGAAAATGGCGCGTGGCCTGTCGCCGCAAAATTGGTGGTGCCCTTATGTGATTCATATTGATCGCGTGTGCAACTGCTGATCTGTTGGCGACTTCTGCTACCGTCGATGATGAACTGCATTTCTAATGTCAGACTGTTTGTGTTAGCATTTCTGATGGCTACCGTATGCTTTTAATGCGTGTGTATGCTTGTGCATGTGCTGAGACAGCAGTCGGTAAATCTTTCAACAAGGGGCTGCGACAAACATTCTGTGTGTTTTTCGTTGGCATAGGAGCGGAGCAACTATGAGGTGACTCGTTTGATATGAAGCTGAAACTAAGATTAGCAAGATTACCATGTTTAAAGGGGTGTGGCCAGACAAGAGCAATAAGCAGGAAGCCAAAGAAGAATGGGAAACCAACACAGAAGTGGAGTCCTCAGCCGCTACACGCTACGGGATTTACTAAAAAGGGGGGGGGGGGGTGAATCCAGGCACTTATGGACTGAAAGATTCTTTGTACAATGAGGACAATCTGTCAACTAACTAATTACCTAACTAACTAATTAACGAAACAACTAACATGAGGACTCATTGCCGACTAGGAAACTTGTCGCAAAAGGTGAATAATGAGAGGTTTGCTGTTATAAAATGGGTCGAAAACGCAGATATCGCAGCCTAGCCGTACACCAGAACACAATGTTTTAACCATAGATTAGTTAGGGTAGATCAACAAGCCGGCAAATGAGACAGCCAATCACTACTGGTGAGCTTCCTTCGAAGTCGGAGAGCATCTGCCTGGGAGGCAAGGAACCAACAGTCTACACTCAAATGTGTCAGATCTGTTAAACGGATGCACACGTAACACTCAGGTTCTGGAACTGGACTGCAGTCCAGAAGTGGACAAACAACCAGAACTTTCCACCAGAGTTTACAGCTGGTGAACGCATAGAAGAAGAAGACTACTAGTGATAATTCTGTGCCATACCACTCACCCGAGACGATGATCCAAACACTCTGTCTTTTCTCAGCGGCCGTATTATTGACAATAAACGTATAGTTGCCGGAGTCCATCTCCTGGGGAGACTCAAACACTAGGTTGTTGTTCTCTACGCGAATGCGCCCACCGTCTCCGATCACCCGATCGCTTCTGTCGGTCCATCTGTGGATGACAGTACACAATCTTTGATCATTTTCACAGTTAAACAACTCACTGGGTGAAGACAACAAAGGATAACATGATCACTTCTACCAGTCCATCTGTGAATGATACTACACATTCTATAATCATCATCATTATCACAGTAAAATATGTTTGTAGTATTCATACCACGGTATGAATACTACAAACGATAACATAGTTACTTCTCCCAGTTTACTTGTGAACTACTTACAATACAGTATCAGCAAACATCACCATATGAATGCCACAAACAACGATGATAATTGTCAGTCGACTTGCGAACTGTGAATATAATCGGTCAACATTACTCTACAATTACCACAAACAATGATGACGTTTGTCAACGACTTGTGAACTGGAATACAGAATCAGTCAACATTACTATATCATTACCACAAACAATGATGACGTTTGTCAGCGACTTGTGAACTGGAATACAGAATCAGTCAACATTACTCTACCATTACCACTAACAATGATGACGTTTGTCAACGACTTGTGAACTGGAATACAGAATCAGTCAACATTACTCTACCATTACCACTAACAATGATGACGTTTGTCAACGACTTGTGAACTGGAATACAGAATCAGTCAACATTACTATATCATTACCACAAACAATGATGACGTTTGTCAACGACTTGTGAACTGGAATACAGAATCAGTCAACATTACTATATCATTACCACAAACAATGATGACGTTTGTCAGCGACTTGTGAACTGGAATACAGAATCAGTCAACATTACTCTACCATTACCACAAACAATGATGACGTTTGTCAACGACTTGTGAACTGGAATACAGAATCAGTCAACATCACGATATTATTACAACAAACAATGATGACTTTTGTCAGTTACTTCTTGTGGTAGTAGTAGTAGTAGACGCAATAGTAATAATAGTAGAAGTAGTAGTATTAGTAGTAGTAGTATTAGTAGTAGTAGGTAGTAGTAGTAGGTAGTATTAGTAGTACTAGGTAGTAGTGGTGGTAGTAGTAGTAGTAGTAGTAGTAGTAGTAGTAGTAGTAGTAGTAGTAGTAGTAGTAGTAGTAGTAGTAGTAGTAGTAGTAGTAGTAGTAGTAGTAGTAGTAGTAGTAGTAGTAGTAGTAGTAGTAGTAGTAGTAGTAGTAATAGTAGTAGTAGTAGAAGGTTGTAGTAATGGTGGTGGTGTTGGTGGTTGTAGTAGTAGTAACGTATATACAAAACCTAAAGTGACCAATACCGTGATTTTGAAGTCTTTGTCTTTGAACACCTCCCTCCTCTCCACCCCCCCCCCCCAATTGCTTTTTTAAACCCCTTCCGCCGAAGGTCAATCCCTAAATGCGTAATTAAAAAAAATGATACATATGTAAATAGTTCGTTTCTGTATTAACTGACTTTTTTTCAGTTAATGTTTCCATTAAACAACATGTCTCTATCTCTCTCTCTTCACACAACTCTCTCTCTATCTCTCTCGCTCTCTCTCTCTCTCTGTGTGTGTGTGTGTGTGTGTGTGTGTGTGTACAGAATCTATTATTCTGTGCGTGTTTGTGCGTGAACGTGTGTGTATACATATAAATATTTACTTCTGACATGTGTATATTCAAAACAGCGGAAATGTGAATATTGCCAGACAGGCCTGAAACATGACAACACTATTTGTATTTCCCGCCATCAGATTTTCTGGCCAAACTGGGGTTGCATCCCTGACAGACAAGGCCCGAATTATAACAAAAGTATTTCTATGTGCCTGCCTCAGATCTACTGGCCCAGCTTATGTTGCAGCCCTGAGCTGAGCATGTTTGGACAAGCCGAGGCTAAATAACCAAACTGGATCTCAGCTGCCGGTAAGAGTTCTACACGAGAACTAACGAACTCTTTCCTGGCATCTTAGCAGTTAAACTTTGCGAGGTAACCGAATTGGATGGAACTTTCAGAGTCTGGTTTTGAGGTGTGATAGAAGTTATCCAGCCTCAGAACTATCAGCAGGTTACTTAGCGACATCTATGGAAGTATTAGAAGAATTAAGAGGCTTCTTCTGATCATCCAGCATTTTATCTTATTGCAGCCGACGTCATTGCACACTTGGCATCCCCGTGCTTGCTCGGTCCTCCAATACATGCTCACCTTATGGCATCTCTACTGATTGTTAAGTTTCTAGTCTTGGGAATGTTATAATCAGGGCTGTACCGAATAGGGATTTTTACTATTCAGCCGAATACGAACAGCGGGACCAACTATTCGGCCGAATACGAATACAAATAGTGTATCATCATCAGCAGGTGCCTTGCCGACTGGCGTGGGCCTTGCCACAATCTGCGATTTCTTGTGGCATGTATTAGTTCGTGTGCTGACACACCTCCATGCCATGCAACAAGACTTTCAAGAATCTTCTCTCCTTCTCTTCCTTTATTCCTCCTTCCACAAATCTTTCCAGTGGTCACCACATGTTCCATTTTTCCTCTTCACATAACATGGCCGAAAAATAATGACTGTCTCCTTTTAATGTCTGTGATAAGTTGTCTTCGGGCTCCCGCCTCTTTCAAAACCTCTTGTTTTTTTTTGTTTTTTTAGGCTGTCCAATGCATTTTTAGCATAGTTTTGTAAAACCAGATCTCCGAGGCCTCAAAAAATTGTTTGACCTGCCTACCGATTGTCCAGGACTCACAGCAATATGTTAAAACTGGATGCTGCACCACGCAACTGGGTCGCAGTTGCCCCCGCTACGACAGACTTAGGCAACAGCAACTATTGTGTTAACGAGAGAGTTTTTTCAGTCTTGCGAATACCTTGGACTCTCAGAATAATTAACAACGATTGTCTGGAAATGGCAAATAAAAGTAGGACATTATATACAACAATGAGAAGGAGACAAAAAAAGTTCACTAGTCATGTAATGAGGGAAAAAAAAAAGCATATCGTGACGACTGAAAATATCACTGGAAGAAGAGGTAGAGGTAGACCAAGAGAAATGATGGTGGATGGCTTAAGACAGTGGCATAAAGGAGAAGTTGAACTGATCCAGAAAACCAAAGACCGAGATATGTGGAGATGCATGAACTACGTTATCTGGCAAGGCACTCGATGATGCTGTATAGTGTATGTTCAGCCATGTCATATGGTGCATAATTCTGAATATCAAGCAAGAGCTTAACAAGTAAAACTGATGCTTGGAGGTGCGTGATATCGCGTGTTGTATATTTCAGCTCTCCAGCGCTTTCAACACTCTAAAAACTGGGTCTAACACAACCCCCCTAGAGAGTCTTGCAACCTATGTCACAGGCATACTCTTTCTTTTCGAAAACGTAAATACAAAACATCGCAGTACCCAAACAACAGAGCGGTACACACACGTAACCTTCAGGAAAGTCGACCAGCCCGACAAACTTGTGAATAGAAAGTGACCTACTCTGTTTGGGGAGACTAACGTCGAACTAACTGAATCATTATGATTACGTTAAGAGATATCACACGCTTATAAATTAATATACATTGGGGTAGTGGGGTGGGTGTGTGTGGGGGGTGGGGAGGGGGTGGGGGTGGGTGTTAAAGACAAGCAAAGAAGAAGTAGACATCAATCATCATCATGTGCCGTGCCGGTAAGCATAGGCAGTCATGTTTCGCTATCTCATACGATCACTAGAATCATGGATCAGTTCAATGTATTTGTCGCATCCCATCTATGTGGCCAGGCCATTCATGAAATTATCTTTCTGCCATCCTATTACTCTATTTCCGTCGATCTCGCCAGCTGTTGCCAAGTTTTCTAACCCATTCGTTCTGATAACATGTCCACAAAAATTGTGAGTGTCTCCGTCTAATACAAATGTGAAGCTCAAATTAAAAAAATGGACGAACAAGTCTATCAGTTTACAACCAGGTTGTGAAACAGAAAACGAGGGGGGGGGAGGGGGAAGAGGGGGGGAGGGAGGGGGGGACCACATCTTCTTCTCCTTCTTCTTCTTTCTGTTCACTGGTGGTAAGCTTTTATTGTTCGTTCATTTCTGAACTTTAGTCTTGTTCTACAACTTGAGTTTTGCGTGCACTTCTTCTTCTTCTTTTGTCAAAATCTGCTTGTGCCGCTAGGCGTCGCAGTCTATCAGATGATCGGCAACCGAGCCAGGGCGCGCTCAGTCGCGTGCACAATCTTGGCAAATTTGAATACAGGCAGATGGTTCCTGGCCTCTCAGGTAGATAACCTGCGACTTCGAAGAAAATACCGCTTGCTAGTCGCCTTATTCGACCTACTTTCTTAAAAGTCAGTGGATCCTGCCCCCTCCCCCGCCCCTACAGAATGGGGCTCTTGCACCAACTCCTGGAGACGGGGGGGGGGGGGGGGACACTGGATTACATAGAGATGGCTAAAAGATACACTTTTAAGTAGACAGTACTGATCATCATCATGAGCCACGTCGATAAGTATCGAAGTTCATATTTTGCCTTCTTCCAGGATCACCAAAATTACGAATCAGGTCAGTATTGTTACCTCACCAATATCATCAAGCATTGTAATTTTTGTTTTAAATCTCTCTCCTCCCCCCCCCCCTTTCTGCCCCCCCCCCCAACCCCCAATCAGATGTAACCAACTTCTCAAGTCCATTTCTTTCATTACACTTGGTGAAGGGGGCGGATTACCAAAAAAGTGGGCGGGGGGGGACGGGGGGGGGGGGGGGGGGGGGGGTAAAGACTGTATACTTCACATTTTTTCTGCTTAGTTTTCTGTCTTCCTCGTTACTTATCGGGAGTCGCCGTGACGGAGCGGCTAGACGCTCGCCGCGGATCGGAAGGTCGTGGGTTCGCTCCCTGGCTGAGCCGGACCTTTTTCGAAAACGACCTTGGCTCGACCTAGCCCTGAGTGGGTACCGGGTGCAGTCCCGGGAAGTAAAGGCGGTTGGCGTGATTCTTACCACATCACCCCATCTTGTGCCGACTGGTCTATACAAATATAGGTCTAGCCCTATATGCCCTATAGGCCTTAATGCGTGGAAGAGGGTC